AAACAATCAAATTAATCTTTAAACTATATTTGAACATAAAGTTAATTTTCATCAAGAATCATAAACTCCCCCTAACTAATAACAATGAATGCAATCAAAAATTACTATTCTAAGCATTTTTCATTTAGTCTTAAAAGTGCTAAACTTATTTTAAACACTAAGTGAAGATAGTTTGGTCAAACCTAATTCTCTTATAAGTGTCCAAAATTTTTCCTTGTCTAAAGGTTTTGTAAAGATATCCGCTAATTGGTGCAAAGTATCAACAAATTCTAGAACTATATCTTCCTTAGTGACATGGTCTCTAATGAAGTGATGTCTTATTTCAATGTTCTTAGTTCTAGAGTGTTGGATGGGATTTTTAGTGAGACAAATAGCACTAGTATTGTCACACTTGATAGGAATAATACCTAATTCAATTCCATAATCAAAAAAGTTGTTGTTTCATCCATAAAACTTGTGCACAACAACTACCGGCTAAAATGTATTCCGCTTCAGTGGTAGATAATGCAACACAATTTTGTTTCTTTGAAACCAAGAAATCAACATATTTGCAAGGAATTGGCAAGTACCGGAGGTGTTTTTCCTATCTAATTTGCATCCTCCATAATCCGCATCAGAAAAGGCATGCAAGCTAAAGCTAGAGTCTCTAGGATACCAAAGTCCTAAACTAGGAGTGTCCTTAAGGTATCTAAAGATTCCCTTAACAGCTAGTAAATGTGATTCCTTAGGACATGATTGAAATCATGCACATAAACAAACACTAAACATAATGTCTGGTCTACTTGCAATTAGATAGAGCAAAGAACCAATCATTGACCTATATAACTTAACATCTACACATTTACCTCATTCATCTAAGTCAAGCTTTGTTGACGAGCTGGAGTGTCATGAGGCTTGCCATTTTCCAGTCCAAATTTCTTGAGCATATCTTTGACGTACTTAGCTTGATTGATGAAGATGCCATCTTTTCTTTGCTTGATTTGGAGTCCCAAGAAAAATGAGAGCTCCCCCATCATGCTCATTTCGAATTCACTTTGCATTAGCTTAGAAAATTTTTGGCAAAGAACTTTATTAGTAGAACCAAAATTATATCATCAACATAAATTTGAACTACTAATAATCTTTACCTTTATGTTTTAAAACAATGTAGTGTCAACCTTCCCTTTTGAAAAACCCTTTTTAATTAAAAATTTGACAATCTTTCATACCAAGCTCTAGGAGAGCTTATTTTAAACCATAAAGAGCTTTTGTCAATTTAAGAACATGATCCGAAAATTTTGAATCTTCAAAACCTGGAGGTTGTTCCACATACACTTCTTCCTTTATAAAACCATTTAAAAATGCACTTTTAACATCCATTTGATATAATTTAAATTCATGAAAACATGCAAATGCTAATAACATTATAATTGCTTCCATCCTAGCTACGGGAGCATATGTTTCATCATAGTCTATGCCTTCTTCTTGAGTATACCCTTGAGCAACAAGTCTAGCCTTGTTTCTCACTATATTACCACTCTCATCAAGTTTATTCCTAAATACCCATCTAGTACCTACAGTAGATTTATTACTAGGCCTTTCAACTAATGTCCATACTTTACTTCTCTCAAATTGATTTAACTCTTCTTGCATAGCCATAATCCAATGTTCATCATTTAATGTTTCTTCAATATTCTTAGGCTCTATACATGAGATAAATGCAACATAATTACAAATATTTCTAAGAGAAGATCGAGTTGTTACCTCTTTGGAACCTATAATCTCACCATCCTTGACATAGTTGTATTCTCTTGGATAAGATACTTCCCTTTCTTCAATGGTTGGATTCTCAAGAGGATCATGAGTTTCCTTATTTTTCGTCTTCCTTTGATGATGGTTCTCCAAGGTCATGTCTAACGTCATTTGTATTTATAACACCTACATCATCATTCACACAAGAATCCTTCCTCAGAAGGGGATAATCATCGAAAACAACATGTATAGACTCTTCTACAACTAAAGTTCTTTTATTAAATACTCGATAAGCTTTAGAATTTAAGGAATAACCCAAAAAAATTCCTTCATCACTTTTAGCATCAAATTTGCCAATGTTTTCTTTACCGTTGTTTAAAATAAAATATTTACATCCAAAAGGATGAAAATAACTAATGTTAGGCTTTTTATTTTTGAAAATTTCATATGGAGTTTTCTTTAAAATTGGCATAATCATTACTCGATTTACAACATAACAAGCGGTATTTGTGGCTTCCGCCCAAAAATATTTTGGCAAATTATTTTCACAAAGCATGGTTCTAGCCATTTCTTCTAAAGTTCGATTTTTCCTCTCAGCAACTCCATTTTGTTGAGGGGTTCTAGGTGCTGAAAAATTATGGCTAATACCATTAGAATTACAAAACTCAGTAAATCCAAGATTTTTAAATTCAATGCCATGATCACTCCTAACACTAGTTATAGAGTAACCTTTATCGTTTTGGATTATTTTTGAAAATGTGATGAAATATTCTAATGCTTCATCTTTAGTACTTAAAAATAGAACCCAAGTATATCTAGAATAGTCATCTATCAAGACAAATGCATATTATTTTCCACCCAAGCTAGTAGTCCTAGTTGGCCCAAAAAGATCTATATGGATCAATTGTAATACTCTACTAGTTGATATATCATTAATGGATTTAAAAGAAACTCGCTTTTGTTTTCCTTTAGCACAAGCATCACAGATTTTATCATTATCAAATTTAAGCTTAGGCAACCCTCGAACTAAATCACCTTGAATTAGCCATTGCAAAACACTCAATACTAGCATGTCCTAGTCTCCTATGCCATAACCAACTATCATGTTCATCCTTAGCAACTAGGCACAAATTATATCAATTAAATCTAAATGCACCATGTATATTTTCCTATTCTATGACCAACAAGCATAATCCGATTAGATGCAATGTCAATGACTTTACAACCATTAATATCAAACATGACATTGAATCCCTTATCACAAAATTGACTAATACTCAATAGATTATGCTTTAATCCATTCACATATAAATATTCTTAATTTGTATGGAAGAGGTATTACCAATAGTACCATACCTTCAATGTGACCTTTTGAATCATCACCAAAAGTCACTTCTCCTCCATTTTTGGCGTTAAGCTCAATGAACCGGCTTTTGTCTCCGGTCATGTGTCTTGAGCATCCACTATCAAGGTACCATGAGTTTGAATTTGTTTCCCGTGCCTTGTAGCAATGCTCATTTTCCTACAAACATAGATTAATTTCTAATTTTTGGTACCCAAATTCTTTTGGGTCCATATTCATTAGTTTCCAAAATCCTAGTCCCTTAGGTATCCATTTGTGTAGGATATATTATCTTTAGTAGTAATGAGCTCTTTAGGAACCCATATACTTCTAACGATTTTTCCATTAGAGGTTCTTTGGGGACCTCTATGATTGTAGTTTTTAAAACTTTTTCTAACAAAGTTGGATTTTGAATTTTCTCCACTTTCAAAATGTTTTGTTCCAACTTTATCAAAAGAAGCTTTAAGATCATCAATTTTCTTTTGATGATCATCATTGACCTTTGAAAGTAAATTTTACAAATCCAAAATTTTCTTTTCAAACTCTTCTAATTTGGTTTGCAAATCTTTGATTTTACTTTCAGATCGTTGTTGGTTTTGGATATGAGTTTATTTTCATTTTTCAATTTTGAAACATCATTTTTATATTTTAAAAACTATTTCTCATAATCCGAAGCCAACCCATTATATTCCTCTAATAACTCATCATAGGATAAATCATCAAAATCAGATGAGTTAGAGGTTACCTTAGAATCTTCCCCGAATGCCATTAAGCACAAGTTTGCTACTTCTTGTTCTTCTTTATCGGAACCTTCTTCATCGCTCCATGTAGCCACATGAGCCTTGTGTTTATTCTCTTCAATTGTGGGCAATCATATTTGACATGCCCCGACTTTTTGCATTCATAGCAAATGATCGGGTCCTTATCTTTTGGTTCATTTTTGAGGCCTTCATTTCGTTTGAATTTTCTTCCTCGGCAAGGTCTCATCATTTTTCTGAACCGTTTGGCAAACAATGCCATTTCCTCGTCATCGTCATCTTCATGAATCACTCTCATCTTTTGTGGATTTGAGAGCAACTCCAATTTTTTCTTCTTCTCCTTCTCCTTTGGTGTCTCTTCAATCTTATCAAGGTCCACCTCATCTTCAAGCATCATTTCATGAGTGAGGAATGAACCGATTAGCTCTTCAAGAGTTAAGGACGTTAGTCCTAGACTCGATGATTGCCGTCTTCTTTGATTGCCACGATTTTGGGAGGGAGTAGACTAACTTCTCACAATCTTTTCATTTGAAATGATCTCTCCATATGATTTGAGACCATTGACAATCGTTGAAAATCTATCCGTCATAGCTTTGATATCTTCATTTGGTTTCATCCTGAAATTTTCATAGCTATGCGTTAGAATACTAATTTTAGATTTCTTTACCTCATCGGTACCTTCATGAGTGACTTGAAGTTTGTCTCATATTTCTTTAGCGGTTGTACAAGATGAAACTCTTCCGTATTCATCTGGTCCAAGAGCACAAAATATGATATGAATGGCTTTGGAGTTGAGCTGGAACATTTTTATCTCTCATTCACCCACAATCTTGGATGAGTGAGAGGCTTGATGTATCCTTCTACTACGACATTCCATGCTCCCATGTCACTTGCTTGAATGAAGTACATCATCATATTCTTCCCATAGGCATAGTTAGCTCCATTGAAGAAATGAGGCTTGTTGACGGCCATCGAATCGAGGCCGGAGTCGAAATTTGAAGTGGAGGCCATTGATGACTTGATAATCGATGTAACTCTTCCCAAATCGACTCAATAGGCGATTAAACCTTCAAATGAGTTAGGCTCTGATGTCAATTATTGAGTTAATCGATTGACGGAATCGGCCAAGAGGGGGTGAATTGGCATTAAATTTTGGTGGAAGCTTTTACAGAAAATTGAAAGTAATTGCACAGCGATTTAGAGTGGTTCGACTTTCTCAACCAAAGTCTTCGTCCACTACCTTAGCTATCCACACTAAGGATTTTCCACAAATTCACTAATTTGTCTTTCTTTTGAGGACAAAGAGTAACCTTACAAACCCTCAAGAATTATACCCCAAATTCTTGAGAACACTATCTCCCAAAGAGACAATACAATTTGCAAACTTACATGGAAATCCTCACAAGGTAATTGTTTGAAAGTCTTCGTCCACTACCTTAGCTATCACCTAAGGATTTTCCACAAATTCACTAATTTGTCTTTCTTTTGAGGACAAAGAGTAACCTTACAAACCTCAAGAATTATACCCCAAATTCTTGAGAACACTATCTCCCAAAGAGAACAATACAAATTTGCAAACTTACATGGAAATCCTCACAAGGTAGATTGTTTGCACAATTCTAGAACAAAGAAAAGAACACTAAAAAATGAATACAATTGAGCACAATAAGTGTTCTTGAAAGCAAACTGAATATTGAATGAAAAATAGGCTTGAAATGCTCAAACTTGAGGTTTGATGCTTTTCTCTTTGATTCTCTCTTGATTCTAGTTGCTTGATGTTTCTTGTTATTGATCAATGGCTTCTAAGCTTGCTTAAATACACCTTGAATCACTTCTGAATGTTGGGGATGATTAGTGAAGATAATATAGCCGTTTTAGTGTGAAATCAATTAATAAAACAGCTTGGAGCGTGGGGGGAATCGGTACCCCTTAAGGGGAATCGGTTCCCTAAGTGTAAAATTCAAATATTTCGACCGTTGAACAGGGGGGAATCGATACCCCTGGGGGGAATTGGTTCCCTCCAAGAATACTGGAATTCTCGGAGCCAAACCATTAAGGGGGGAATCGGTACCCCTTGGGGGGAAATCGGTTCCCTCTGGACAAACTGTAATTTTTGGCTTTGAAACGGTTCGAAATACTTTGTAAAATTATTTTGAAATTGTTTTAAGATTAAAACTTAATTTTACACTTGAGTAAGGATTAAAAATGACTTTTGAAAGATTTGGAGTAATATTTTGATATTCGAATAATTATATCGAATATACTTAGAAAATCATTTGGAAAATCTTAAAATTCATTTAACTTAATTTGTTATATCGAAATATCAAAATGTTTTTAACAAATATGATGAGAAATGCCTTAATAAGGTTAAATGAGATTAACAAGATGTATTAGTTCATTAAATGATTAAAGTGTCTTGAGGGGTACAAATTAATAAAATACCTTTATAAGTGTAAAATTACTAAAATTCTCTTATGAAACTAATCGACTAAAAATGATGGCTTAAATGCATAAAAAGAGCAACTGTCATAGTGTTCTAATGTTTGGCTTTAGTGGCGTAAGGGTATTTACTTGTTGACCTTAGTGGTGTAAGTGTCTATATTTGTGTGGTTTTATTGGCGAATATATATATATATCTACGCGATCTTAGTGATAAATAAAAAAAATATCTATATAATCCTAGCGACGAATGAATATCTATCTAAACGACTTTAGTGGTGAATAAAATGTAAATATCTAAATGACCGTAGTGGCAAATGCATATCTATCTAAACAACTTTAGTGGTGAATGAAATGTAAATATCTATGACCCTAGTGCCGAATGAGTATATATCTAAGTAACCTTAGTGGTGAGATGATGAATACATACATGTATACTTATATGGCTTTAGCGATGAGATCTATATGAATATTCGCGATTATGTTCCCGGTGCCAGATAAGATCGAGATATATTATTATATTATCATGATGATGTGATTGTATATACACTTGTTGATTATTAATGATGAAAGTTCATGGCCAGACCCTAATATCGAGGACCAGGGAAAACATGAGGTTAATATTGTTAACAATTCAATTTGATTGATCGTAACTTAATGTGTGCCTTGAATTAGAGAATCATGTTATATGCAATGTTCATTGATTATACTACTAGCAGGCTGGTGTTTATGAATTTCATGATGTATATTAGACTAATAATATACTATTGAGCTTGTAACATTCAACGCTCGAATATTTTCGATCGCATGTTAGTAGACTGATTTCATGTTGGAGTATCGTCACTTTAATATTTTCGATATATGTTTTCAGGGTATAGTATCCGAGTACTATTGCAAACGTGTATATCCATATGATCCTTTAAGTGTATTTGGTCTGTAATCTCATTTTTATTTTAGATCCACTTTGATTAATATTTATAAGTAGGGATTTGAGTTTGTAAAAATGTTTTAATGTCGTTATGAAGCTTTATGGTTTGCTTGGTTTGCTTTTATAAATTATTTCATATTATGATTAAGGAAAGAAAAAAAAACTAAAGTAGTGGTTGCTTTGATGCCTCAATATGATACGTTAGACCTATTACGTAACTAGATTTGTAATCACTTAATTATAAGAGAATTTTAATCTGACTATTGATCTTTCAACTTTATCAATCATACCATTTAACTATTTAAATAATACCAATCAAGTCACCTGTTACTAATATTTGATAGAGGAGCTAAAATGCCCGTTAATAAAATTGGAATAATTACATATTTGATCTTCATTACTTACACATTCTATTAATTTAATCTTAATTTTAATTTAATTTCATAAATTTAATCATCTAATCAGATGATAACAATTTTAAAGATAAATAACGATGTTAGTGATCATAAGTTAACTTTTCAAACTTCAATGATAAAAAAGAAACACAAACATTAGTGACCATATGCGTTATTTACCTCTTGGTTTAATACTTTGAAAACTTCATATCATTATGGTACTAAAATGTCATAAATTTTGACTTATTTGTAATAATTGCATTAAAAAAACAATTCACATTAAGTAGTAATAATTATACTCAGCATGTACGAATTGTAACTGTTAAGTCATTTTGGTCATTTCCTTTCCTTATTTACGTTACAAAATCCTGGGGTTTTAATGCTTTTTGGTTATATATAAGTGAAGAGCCCCCTTGAATACAAGATAAAAAAAATACAAAGTAAAAATTAATGGATATATTTTTTTATGTAAATAGAAGCAGTTAATTTTATTAAAAAAATTAAAATTACAATGGCAGTTTACAAACAAAAGTGTAAGTTAAAACACATAATTAGAACATTTCCTATAATTATTAACACAAAACTAGTTACTCAGGATCATATAATAACCATGTAAGGAAAAGGTTAAGAACACATCCTAAAAATCAAAATTCAAACAAAATAAATATGTGAATAGATTTGACTGCATCGGTGAACAAATCACGACAGGAGATCAAGCAACTGAAAGACAACTGAAAATTGTGAATCAGGGTCAAGCGTCGTGAAAAAACTATCTACGAACACAGACCGCATACTCAAATTCATCCAAGGATCCAAAGCAAGACAAATCAACATGATAATAAATACGTGACATGTTGATCAGTCGAGGCGATGTCAAACCCAACCTTAAAAAAAGTAAATAAAAAGAACGGTTAAACGATTGATAGAAAAGATCGAAAACATGCCAAAAAACAGATAAAATCGTGTCATAAAAACAGAAAATCATGTCATGAAGGCATAGTTATTAGAATTTAAAAAAAAGAAAAATAAATATATGACATAAGAAAATATATGAAAAATAAGGAATATCGACAGTCACAACTAACACTAATATCAATGTTGCTGCCAACAAAAGAAAAAAAAGTCAAACGACACTTAAAAGAAAAATTGAAACCCTAGAGAGTATGAAAATTAGTCTTCAAATTCCAAAATTAATGGATATTTGATATTACAATTAAGCAAATTTTAGTATATTTAAAGTAGTTATAATTATACTCAACATATTTCACTATATATGAAACTAAGGACCTTACAATTAAGCAAGTCTTTATTATACGTATATTTTTCAATCATAACTTTCACATAATATATTTTTTTTCGTTTTTCTTCTGTTGTTTATGATTGATTTTTTATCATTATCTTTAATAATTTGTAACAAATATGAATCTTGCTTAAAATGCTACGAAGATCTTGCTGATTCTCACACTCTACGCGACTTTTACTATTAGTAAGATCATGATTTCTACTCATAAGTCGATAGGCTGGATGAATATAATTTTCTAATAATATATTTAATTCTAACAATAATTATATCAAGGTCTTGCCAAAGAAGGATGATTAATCGTAGTACATGATTTCAGAATCGTACAACATGAGATTTCAAAATCTGTAATCAGTAGAGGACACCCTTCGGAGAACTTCTCTTACTACGAAGAATTCAATTTTCGATGAAATTATTAGTAAAAGAGATCTAGCTATAACATAAATATAGATGAGACCCTTGACATAGTAAAAATATAGAGAAGACAAATTAAAATTATTGTTATATTTGAATTTTATTCGAATTAAAAAATAATAATAATCTAATCAAATTTTAAACTAAATTAAATTAAACATTTTAGTTTTAGTTTTTACAAGTTTTTCTTATATTAATAATTTAATTTTTATAAGATTTAAAATTCGAATTTGAGAAAAATGTATCTTAAAGAGATAATATCGATTTAAAGCACAATACCAATAACAAAAAAGTAATAAGATATTATTACTTTTTTTATGTCACAACTTATATTTACTTTCAGACCATATCATTAATGCACAATCCCAAACTTTTTCATTAGTATTAAATGAACCAATGATTAAAGTAATTCAAACATATATAGTATTAAATGGACCATATCATATTTTTCTGATTTAATTAGTTGTATTATCGATTTAATAATAATTAATTAATATTTATAATCTATTTAATTATTATTATTATTATTATTATTATTATTATTATTATTATTATTATTATCTGTTTTCAATGTTATTTTATTTACGGTTATAAATCATGAGTCGAGAAACGAACAATTGATTCTCGATTCAATTAAAATTCGATTTGATTTGGATATAATTCATTTAATTCGATCATTAGACATAAAATAAAGATAAATTATGCATTTAGTACTTAAGCTATCAATTTTGGTTCGCATTAGTACATAAACTTTTATTTATTTAAAATTATATATAACGTTTAGTTTTTGTTTCATTTTAGTACTACACCATTAAAAACTTAACGAACGAGCCCGTCAGCTGTTGCGTCTACAGTCATCGGCCATTGCATCTGTTGATCGATGAAGCCCAAACTTTCCAACCCCCTGAACATAATTCTGGTCTTTGTTTTACCAGGAAATGCCTCAATCTCCTAAAATGAACAATGGACTTTTCGATTTCTTCATCCTCCAATCTACATCGTCTACCGTCTGATGGACTTGAAATTGGACTATGTTGGTCGAATCGCCATTATCTCGTGGTCCATTATTCGGATTGGTCATCTGTCCACCAAAACTATGCCACATCATCTATCCGTTAAGTTTTTAACTGCAGGTACTAAAATGATACAAAAACTAAACATTAGATATGATTTTAAAAAAAATTAAAGTTTAGGTACTAAAACGGATAGTTTAGGTACTAAATGCGTATTTTACCCTAAAATAAATACAAAGCCCAATGAAACTCAACCCAATAGGCCGAATGAGGCCAGTTCAAAGCCCAACATATCTCAACTGTCGGTAACAGTAAACATTCGGTTCAAATTCGAAGTTCAATTATCCTCAAAAGGTCAAGGAGCGCAGTTTTGATCTCCCAGAAGAAATCATCCAAACGAGAATTGAATTCGAAATCAATAGGGAATGCAGACGAATTGCTGCCATGTTTCCCTCGCTTTTTTTCTCAAGTTGTTGAATTCTCTCCAAGCTTTTGTTGGAGTATCGATCGTTCTCTATTCGATATGGATGTTGGATCAGTGGAAGCATCACGTCCCGATTTCTCCGCCTCCTTTAGCGCCTCCACCGGAATCTTCGGTTTCAATACTCTTCAAATCAGGACCGGAGATTGGAGCTCAAGCAGATAGGGTTTTCGATGGTTTAGCTGTCGGATTGGTCTCCGGGCTGGATAATGATGTTGGGTTGAACTTGAGCTCCGTTGAACTACCTGCTCCCTGGTACTTGCTCTATTTAGTCCTTTATCTCTTTTTTATTTAATGATTGATTGTTTTATAAGCGATTGAACTGAACACTGCATTAAATGCTATAAAATTTCTTGAAAGCTATAAAGGACGAAATTTAAATGCTTGTGAAGGGGTTTTGACAGGACAGGATAATAATCTCACTTTAATACTTATACCTTAAAATATTTGATCATGCAATTTAATGCTTTGTACTTGGGTGAAGTTCCTTAAGCTTTCCGATAAACTACGCCATGCATCAAAATTGCTAGCTTTCGTAAATTTGTATCTATTTTTTTCGTTTGTTTTACCTCTTAATACTTGGTTAGTAATTTTAAAACATCAAATTTATTGAATATGTTGTCCCAACTTTCATTTTTCTTGAAACATCGTGTTCAAACAATTGTGGCCAAGACATTTCTAGACATGAGTATGTCCCTTCAAAGATCCTTCAAATACATGAAAAAACTTATAAAAAGATTGAACATACCTGTGTCAGATATATATATATATATCTCTTTGTCTAATCGTCATACCGAAGTCCGAGTAATGTATGATTCGAAAAACTAACTTCAAAGTCTTACCTTTAGGATCAAATATCCTTAATGTATATTGCGGATACTTCTTTTTACTTTTTCTTTTTTGGGGGTAGGGGATTAGGGTTAGGGAAAGGGGTTGTCTAGGTTTGAACCTGGGATCTAGTGTCATCAAAGACTTGAGCAACGAAGTCATTTAAAAGTACATCAATGGCCAGTTGATGCAGAGACTTGAAAAATGGTTTAAAGAATTTGTTACTACTGCATTAGATGTTCTATTCTAGAACCTGGTTGTCTCTTGTTGCTATTTGGAGTGTCTCTTTCAATTCATTATTCCACAGCTATACATCGTTTGCTTCTTGTGGTGCTTTTGGTTGGACGTATTGGATTGCAAACTTTGATGATTTTCTTCTTTGTTTCAGGTTCATATACTCTTTTATGGGAATAGGAATTCTGTTATGTTCCATTACTCTCATTGGTTGCATAGCTGCTGAATCTGTTAATGGCTGCTGCCTTTGTTTTGTATCCTACCAGATCAGTCTTTATATTTCTTTTAAAGTGAAATTGACTTAAAGATTAGTTAAAACTGAAGTGATTGTGAATATCTCTGCAGAAGAGATTAGCGATTTTAAAGAAAATAGAAAATTTCAGACAATATTTTTCTATTTATTGAAGCACAAAATTCAATATTTCATCTTCTATATTTTCACTGTTAAGTGTCTCTAAAACTAAATACCTGTTAAATTTTTTTGCCAAAAAACACTTGGTTATTTTAAGCTCTATATCTGCTGCCAAATATCCTATGGACTGCATTCTAGTATATGTTCTTTAACTTCATCAAACTGCCAGTATACACTTCTCAAAATTGTTCTGATTCTAATAGAAGCTGCTTTGGTCGCATTTATTGCAATTGACCATAGGTGGGAGAAGGTATATTTTTCTTCTTGGTGCATTGGATTTAGCATGAGATGATATGGTTTAAATCATGTGCAGATTATCATTTACAACTAAATACTATATTCTATGACAGGATCTTCCATTTGACCCAACAGGAGAACTTGATAGCTTCCGATCCTTTGTCGAAGAGAACATTGATATATGTAAATGGGTTGGCCTCGGTGTGGTCATTATTCAAGTATATTTTTCTAGCCCTTGTTTTCATTAAGTTTATAACATTAAACATTCTAAATTAATTGATTGCAATTGTTATTCCCTTCAAAAGAAAATACTGCAATTAATACATACTTTTTTATCCGTTGCACTTCATCAGATGTAGGTTCTACTGAAGTTCATTTTATGATGCATGATTCTTCTGACCATGTTTCGCTGTTTTTGTACTGTATTTTATAGTTAATTTATATTATATCTGTGGTAACTAAATTCGAAAGCTAGATGTAAAGAATCTTGTTTTTTATTAGGAAATAAAATATAAGATTCCCCCGCCCCCCTAAATGTCCAGTAAGTCTTCTGGTATCTTGACTCTAATCGATATTCCTCCAATGTTTCAGGCATTAGCTTTGCTAGTGGCAATGATTTTGCGGTCAATGGTTTCTGCTAGAAGAAGAGATATTGAAGAGGAAGATGATTATGAAAGTGTCAAAGGTAGAACTTGGGAGCCACTCCTAAACCCTCAGTCTAGCCACTCATCTACGTCAGCCAAAGGCGATGGCAGGGGAACACAATCTAACATGTGGGGTTCACGGATAAGAGAAAAGGTATCCTGACTTTCATTGCTGGCATGCTAGTTATATGGGATGGTTCACTCTTTGGTTTTTTAGTTTCTTCTATATGTTGTGAATTCCATTATGATACATCTAATTCTAGATTGAATGACAATCACTGCGGTTGAAATGGTTCCTTCAAGTTGTCCTTATATCATAGTAGATCTCATCACTGGCATGCTACGCCCGTGTTCTTAGTAATCTATTGAAGTATTTAGTGATAATGTGGCAAATTATCGTTCCGAATCTCAGCCATTTAACACTTAATGACAGTCTGGAATCTTAGTAGCAAATGATTAATGGTTGAATACGTATGCAGTTCGCAATTATACATGTGATTCCTTGTATCTTTCATGTGATATTGTGGTTGTTTCCTAAATCATACCATTGAATTTGTATTGCAGTTCGGATCGCAGAGTGGCGATAAATATAATTCACTAAAATAGAACCCATCTGCAAGTATGAAGTTGAAATAGAACGACGATCAAGGAGACCACTCCTCTCGCAGACAGCAGTATACGTACCGTTCCACTCCTTTAAACTTTTTGCTTTTCCGGACTAAGTTTGATGTTGAGTATAGGTCTTTGGACTCTGTATATTACTTTGTAATCATGTTTATGAAACGATTCTTGTAATTGAATCTGGTGATACATGTAGTCTGTTTAACTGAGAAGTTTGTTGTTTGGTCGAGTACTGTGTTCTCATTGTCATTTGAAATGATTTGTTTGAGGTAATGTTGTTGTATAAACGCAATTGATTTCATTGTCCTGTTGAAGAATTTTAAAATATTAATATTAAAATGAATTTCAAATGTATTAATATCAATATTTAAATTGAAATAAATATTTTTTTTTATTTTCAGCTCAAATTGAAAAAAGAACATTTATCTAATTCATCAGTTTATTAATTTGTATCAGATGGTGTAGAGATTCACTATGTTAGGAAGTACAATTATTTATTTTAATTCTTAAAATCATCTTTAAAATGTGCAAACGCTATTAAATTCTTTTTTAGTGAAAACCAACAGGTGGTAATCAGTTTGATATCGCTTAAGTAGATCTTAAGTTTGAGGTCTTGTGTATGCAAAAATTTTCCGTTTGAGATTCATTTACCAAAGTCAGATGTGCAACACGAGTCAGTCTGGATTAATTTGGGCGAAACTAAGGAACTTGGGAAAAAATCTTTTAGTGAAAGGATGCGGTAATAATCACCTCTTCATAATTACATGTGGGAAATTCTCATTGATTAGTTTAGGGATAGATTGATAATTTACATGGATTAATTCAATGATAAAAGGTAAAATTTTGGACCAATAGATTATTTTAAAAAATTATGAAAACAACAATTTCAAATATATAAAAATAATTAAAATAAACTACATTTATATGACAGTTAAACTAGTATAACAATATTTATCGTTTTGTTATTTTATATAATCTTTAAATAAAATAATTAAAAACCACTACTTAATATTTAAACAAAAATAGAATGGAAAAATCTAATATTTTTAAAATAAACTACGCCATTGGTCGTCATACTATTATATCTCTCATATTTGGGTCATCATATTATTTTTTTCTGCATAATTGGTCACTAACATTACATATTTTCCCAATTTTGATCAATGGGTCGTTAAATATTTAACGGAGAATGTGACGTGGATGGATATAATAATAGTTTTAATATCAAAATTTATATATTCTATCAGTTTAATCCTAATTCAAAATAAATTTATTGAATTGTTTCGAATCAATATCAAATTTATCCTACTATTTATTATGTTTTAATAAATATAACATGGTCAAAAATGAGAAGGAGTCTTACTGGTACAATAGCTATGGATCAGTTGTTACCGTTGATCAGGTGATTATAGATATTAAGGTTATAATTATAATTTTATTAAATAAATATATATATATATATTCTTTTTTAAAAATTAATAATTATAATTTATGTGTGTTAAAATTCAGGACCCGAAGACCCGTTATCCGGTGGTGGTTCGGTTCAACAAAGTTAATTACGCCAACGTGTCAACCAACAACTATGCATTGGATGAGATTGAAGTCAAATGAATCAATCATATTTGTAATTTAAATCAATTCCATATCTATTTAATTTCATAACTATTAGTCTTTCCATATTACTGTTAAAAACCAATAATGATAAATATATTAATAAATAATTAAAATAAAAATAAGTTTAATAAGTAACTATTACCAATAGTTAAAAAACTTAAAATTTAAAAGATGATCCCCATCTTATACCATCATTTGCTCTTTATAAATGTAAAGCTCACAAAACTCTGTTATGGCAATGTCCAATACTCTGGATTGTCGGGAAAAGTTTCCATATACTTCACCTCTAACGAAGTTGACATTTCGGAACTTGTTACAAGAAGGTCGCCAACCTTGGATCGGTTCGGTGTGGAAGACCGGTTCGGGCTCCTAAAGCCCTACAGCCAGATGCAGCCTGCAATTAAGCCTCAAAAAGTTGGTAGATAAAACATCTCCTTATCTGATACTCCTAGCAATCAGAAAAAGAAAATTTGCACCTAATTAACAAAGGTAGAACTGTTTACCACTTGAGCGGCGAATGGTAACATCTTCTCCGGTGGCATGCCTGCAGAGAGAGCTAAAAGAACAAAAAATGGATCATCGTCAACCTCGTAAATGGCTTAATCAATAGATAGAAAATGAAAGGATCAGTGCACGACACCGCAGAATTTAATAGAAATAAATGTAAGATCATAGTTCAGCTGTGAGGCGGCAAACTTTCCGATAAGGATATATCGTTGTTCAACCATCAGGAGATGAAACCTAACTGATGAAACTGTTGATGGTTCATCTTATATTTGAATACAATGGATCGTTGATCTGATCTGAAGAATCCGATGTTTCTTCCGGGTTTATAGGTAGTTAAAAGTTGGGCATTTACGTAATGGATGGTTGATAATGAGACATATGAGAACCTTAATACACAAATTATTTGCTACCTATTTGTAAACAACTTTCAGGAATATTAATATATATATATATATATATGTTTACCAATGAACAAAGAATCTATCAGAAAACGGAAGTTGCAGAGAAATGAGGTTTCAATGGATAAATGTACCATAAATTACTGCTCCTATAAATGCATCTCCGGCGTCAGTTGTATCGACAAGTTCTGATGATTGAACCTTTTCAGCTGTTCCGATAAATAACCGACCGATCACTGATCCTATCCCATTTGCACTCAATTTGGCAACCTCCTACAAAGTGAGATAGCTAAGAAAAAAAAAATCTGAAGATGTAAGAGAAGTTCACAATTTCAGGTTATAAGAGAATAGGATTTTAAAAGCCGGGGAAGTAGCTCCCTATAACTCATGCAAACAAGCTGCCGAAAGAGAGAACTTTTAACATGGATTCGAGCAAAATTAGATCAAGTCAGAGATTATACTGTTCCACTTGAAACTTTAACTCCTAAAATACCAGAAATATGAACTACCTTTAACAATGATCCAATAAGATGAGCCATGTATGGTAATATGTACTATAATAGAGAACAGATAAAAGCTATGTTACTTAGACTCTGGAGTGATAGTTCGATGAGTATATTCTTGGTATGAATACGTTCAATTTTTTCTAATATTCTAATGTATTTGAAGGACCCTTGATGTGTCATATCCCCATGCTGACGTCTAGATATGTATCAGACTCGAGAGTCAAACACAAGTACTTCAGGAAAAATAAAATTTCACAGTAACATGGTGCAAAATAGAAAGAGGCCAATCAAAGACATGGTCCTAAACTAAGAACACAAATCTAGAGAAAGATTCAAGAAAGTGAAGTTCACATTGTGCAACTGTATTCCCACCTACAGCAGATCACATGTCATAGCTGACCTATACAGATTAAACATAAGCCCTAGAGATATTATATGTATACGGATCGTAGAGGGTAGGATATCTGCAATTTCTGAATTATCTGAATTCAAATCTGTTTTTCATCAGCAAATGATTTGAGCATTACTATCCGCCAGATATTTGAATCAGCAAAAAATACAAATTCAAAATTTTAAATCATATTTTGAATATCTGAATCTGCTAAAAGTTGGATGACCAAGGTTTGAATCCCCTTAGGAGCAAACATATTCTCCATTTTGTAATTTGGGGTCAAAGTCGGATATCTGAATCCACAATCAGCATAAGTAATGTGGATTCAGATAATTGATATTCGAGTGTGTCTATCCGCTCCTTATCCGCAGCGAATGGAAGTTTGAACATCTGAGTCCACAATATCTAAATCCACAAAAAATGAATCGGATATTTGCAAATATCTGATTCCACAATCTGAATTGCCATACCAAAATATGCAAGTCAATATAAAGTCCTTAGCTTTGTATATTACCGATGAGATACATGTTGGGATGGTCTTGCTTTCATCTTTTCTCTGCTTCAATGATTCCAATGAACTGTGAATATCAATTTCTTCAGCATTGGAACCACCTGCAAAAATAGTAGAGAAGACCTGTAAAAAATGTAAAAAAATATCAATTTTGGGTTCCATTTCATATGATATTTACCATTTACACTTCTTTCGAGTATTATGCATCCATCTTCACCCAATGTCACGATCACAAATTTTAACTTTGGCAATTTCAGAAGCATGGAAAGAAGAGCACTTGGAAGTTGGAACAGATGGAGCCTCTGTCCATGCCTTTCTCATCGGAAGTTCATAACATGTGCCAAAAAAAATCAACTCAATTAACAAATATAAGCAGCAATGCACATGTATTATATCTTTTTAACTAAAGATTAAAGAACGAGGCCAAAACTAAATATCCAGAACACCAAAGAAGGATAACTAAAATAGATTTAACTGATATTGACAAAATAAGTTCCCAAAGATATGGGTAGATGACATCACTTATAAAAGATACTGGAAGAATGATCCTCTGGAGGTTGAATAAGAGTTGTAGGGAACTTTCTTTGTTTTTGTCAAATGCTTACAAACTAAGTTACCTGTGGAAAAACTTCAATGTGAAAGAAACATCAAAAGATCAACTTACCTGCGGAAATTTTGCCGAGCATATAGCATAACTAGCAAAATCCAGAAGATCATCTAAACCTTCCCTTTTCCTTTCTTCATCGACTAATATTGGAATATTACTGCGAGCTGCCTGTACTGGAAACATACAAAAAAATGCTATTGACTTGCTATCAGTTGATAGTAATGATGAAGAACGTAGGGGAAAGACTTTACTTGAATACAAATTGGTCACAATCCTGTGAGCCACTTAATAGTTAAGAAAGTTTTCACTTTTTGTAGTTTTTCAGCCAAGGAACCAAGTTGATGAATATTACTAATGAGAGATTAAAAATTTTGGATATTAAAGATACATTATTAAATCAATTCATACTCCTAACAATGTTACTCATACTCCGGTGTGAGTGTTAAATACGGTTATGCATCTAATACAGGTCTGTTCAAATTTTTTTCTAAGTTTTTTCCATGTATTTAGAGAGGGTCCTATCCCCCATACCTCGTTTCTGAATAAGTTCCGAACACAAAAAATTCAAGCAAAATGAAGAGTTGGAGCAATACAGCTTCTAACAATATGATAGCTTTTAATTTCATCAGCCTTGACACCATAAGCAGAACAAGAAAAGAAAAGGTAACTCTTCTGCAACAATTAAAGCTGTTTCATAGTCTTCCATAAAAAAAACCATATTCACTCCATCCAATGCAGATAATAATTGCGATTGAGAGTTCCTCCGGTATCAAGGGTGGATAACCAGGGGTGTGAATACAGGTGCGGGTTTTCCTGAAAATTTAGTGTCAACCAATTGAATGTGAATATTTTGAATGAAATAATCTTCTATTATATTTTTCTGTTAATAGCATACATATATATACATGTATAGGAGTACCTAAACTTAAACAATAATATACCCATAACGGCCCATAATATTCTGTCAATAGCCCATAACTAACCCATAATATCATGTAGGAAATAGGTATTGTATTATTAGACAACATCCTGATTTCTATCTTCATTTTTTTAACATAAGCAATACTTATTTTTGTTCTTGTTATGAGTTTAAGAATGTGGCTTGCTTCAACACCCAAAAGAAAATGTAAATGAATCTCGTTGTACAGAAAGGATTGCAAGAGCCGGCCGAAGGTGACCTTAAGCCATCTAAGCCAACTCAAAGGGAAGACACTTCTCACTCAAAGGATAACTTATTATATGATGCACGGGATAAGGCTTAAGTTCTCACGTTTCACTGTCAACGATGATATAAGTAAATGGTGAATCTCCCTCCTCAGAAACCTGAAATCCAAACATTTAAGTGAGAGTCCAGGTTGTAACGAAACATTTAGAGGCAATAAGATAAAATATGTATTATATAATAGAAGGTTGCCTAGTGCATTAAGCTCATTGATGGTAACATCTGGAAAAAAATGTATCCTTTAATATTTAAGGGGCCAAAAACAAGGGCATATGAATGAGCAAATAACACAGATTTGTTTGGTTCACCAAGAAATAGTACAATAGATAAAGTAATGTATAATAAAGTACATTCCTTTGCAGGTTGGTCTCTGCTATATGGCGACCCAAGTTAGGTTATTTTCTTGTCTTCTAACTTGTGGAGTTCAGGAAAGTCGTGATCAATTCAAACATTTGATAAAATCAATGATAATAGTAGGCTACGGATGTTTCCCAGAAGTATGATCTATAAAACATCTCAAAAAGGCTTACAATAAAGAATGAAGTGTCGACTCCATCAGATTCAAGCTCCTCCAGTATACTCTTTCCTTGAGCGTCATTGGCAACCTTAGAAATTAGTCGCGGACTTAATCCTAAACGAGCAGCACAAGTTAAGGCATTTCCAGCATTCCCACCTCCTTGAACCTGTGAAAACAGATGCTAAATTGATCAATTTAACCTACAGGTTATATAGCTCAAGCTCTTGAATTTTCTTTTAGTACCATTGTCCAACAACAAAGGTGTCTGATGCACATCCGAATATGGATATGAGGATATGGCTGTTCAAGGATTCTCCAAGTACAAGGAGAAACTTAGAGAAAAAAATGAAAATACACATGTCGAGAACATATCCATAGCCAACACTTCAAATACGAGTAAAATAACCTAATAGGAGATTCTACAAAGAAATTGAAGACAAAATCCAAATTGAAGCGTTGATCAAATATGAACTACATTACTCACTTAAAATCCATCCAAAAAAAGGTCCAAGTAACATAACTGTGTTGGACATAAATATTAGTGTTACCAACACTCACAAGTCACAAGTTCGAGTAACATAGCCTACGAAGGAGACAAAAGGGAAAACTGAATAATTGATCAAATGTGAACGACATTACTCACTTAAAATCCAAGTAACCATAATGTAGTCAAACATAAATACTCATGTTAACACACACCCACACTTGAACTAACGAATTCAAGTAACATAAACTATTAGGCGGTTCTACAAAGGAATTGAAGACAAAAGGGAAAACTGAAACATTGATCAAATATGAGATACATTACTCACTGAAAATACATTTTAGAAAAAGATCGACTATGATAACCATATTGGATGGGAATACCAATGTCACAATGTACCCATGCTCATACTCGACACTCAAAAGTCCGAGTAACATGACCTACTCCGGAGGGGGGGGGGGTTCTCTAAAGAAATTGAGAATAGAAGGGAAACTTGAAACATTGATCAAACATTAACCTTAAAATCCATCAGAGAATGATAACCATGCCGGACCGGATTACGCATTTCAAATACATTACCAAAACCCAACACTATTGAATCCAAGTAACATAGCCTACTAGAAAGTTCTCCGAAAAATTGAGGAAAGAAGGTCAAATTGAAACATTGATCAAATATGAGCTGACATCAGTAAATTAAGTAAATTAAAAGCAGGAAGCTTGAAATCTAGAAATTAGAACCTTTAAGCTAGTGCTTCGAGTTTTGTCGTCAGGTTTAGGATAAGAAGCCACGGAGGCCAAGAAATCCACCGAGACCGCTCCAGACCCTAGCTGTTGATGGAAAAAAAACTTCATCAATTGCATGATAATGCCAAACAAAAGAAACGGTGATATGAAAATGGAAGACAACGATGCAAATTAAATAATAAAAAAGTACGACGATGCGTTGTTCAGGAAGCGATTCGGAAAACAATTGGGCCTTAAAATTTGAGGAAGGAGAGGAGGAAGAAACTAGCGAGATGGCATTGGAGAAAGGTGAAAGAAGCGATAACACCGCGCCATTGTTTTTTGTTCTTCTCCCTCAGCAATGCTTTAAGCTAGGTATGCAAGTTTCAGTATCCAAAACCGTTGAAACATGGATAGAGAGGTAACACCTTTGGAGCCAACCAATTCTGAGCTGTGCAAATTCAGTCACTTTTCGGCATTTTTCTATTTTTTTAATTTATTAATGCCTATTAAAAGTCTTTTTATTGCATTTAAAAAATTATTTTATTTTATTATTATCAAATTATATTATAAATTATCATAATTTTATAAATGTAATTGAGTAATGTTTTGTATAATTAAATAATATTTTATGTAATTAGATAACTATATAAAATAGGGTAAATTACAGGTTTCGTACCCTAATTATTAGTTTTATTCTATTTAATCAGTCAATCAATTTTTTTTAAATCATACTTAATATTATATTTTAATTTAATCTTATTTTAATTTCAATTTGATCATCAATATTAATTTTTTAACGATAATACTAACATATTACTATAAAATAATATCAATCATCTTTGAAAAAAAAATACACATTAACAATTATGCTAATTTTCTAACTATAGTTGATTTAAATGAAATCAAAACGAAACATTAGACATAAATTCTTGTACATCATCCGGCCTCCTCAAGCTCTAAAAACAAAGGAAACCATAACTAGGGAATTTAAAGATAGTTGCCAATTTCAAGATTTCAACTCCAGACTATTGGGAGTCATACTTCTAAAGATGATTATATGAACTAAATAAACTCAATTCGATCCGAGGTCCGAGTTCCCCTCAGCAGAATAGCAACCTGTGGATTACTTCTCTTTCAAGGTCTACTGTAGAGCAATGAACAGATTACTTCTTTAGAACATGCACATGCAAATGCTAATCCGCTATGCACGAGTTAGACGATCCCAAGAGCTTTCGATATCAAAGAAAAGCATACCAGTATCGAGAGATATATGATCGGGAGGAGACGGTGCATTAAGTCCTGCAGTAAGATACCCTTCTGAAGGACAATGGCCATCCAAAAGGAAGCTCTCGAGCTCATTGTAGTACGACTTATCTCCCTCTTTTACGTTGAATGGTCCTTCCCCACTTGTGGACCCTGAAGTTTGAAATTGTACATAATCAGCAGAAGGTGGTTGATTGCTTTGACCGATGTCATCCACCTAACTAATGTCAAAATCTGAAAATCCATTATGTGTTGCAGGACGATTTTGATTCTGAACATGATTGATATCTTCGTATACATTTGACTGAGGAACACATCGACTGTTTGCTGAGGATAGGGAGGGTGCTGAGTTCGTAAAAACAGAGTCCATACTCGGCTGTGAGGAGATCTGATGTGTATATGTTACTAAACTTGCGTCGAAACAATCTTTTTGCCGGTTAATGGGATTTGAGTTTCTTCGTTTGATGTTGTAACTGAAGCAGGACTTTGTCGAACCTGTGAGGCATGAGCAGAAATAATGTTTTCAGACGGAACATATGAGGTGCGATTCATTGTTGAGGTAACTTCAGTGTCAACTCTTTCGGACATTATGTTGGAAGGGACAAATTGGGAACCCCAGTTCCTAATCTTAACATACCGATCCCTTCGAATTACAGTATTATGCACACCTAGAACCTCCCGTGAACCCAAACGTGGCTGAATAGTGCTTTTATTTAGAACATGTCGGCTACCCACACTCGGGTTATATGAAATCCCATGTCTGGTAGATGATGAAGAACCACGAATTATGGATGGCATCAAGTCATGATCTTGTGGTATGCAGTTCCCAGAAGCTTGAACTGGAGTTGGTCTAGAAACATGATTTTTTGTATTCAATTGAATATTGTCCCGATGTGGCACTTGATTCCGTTGGGGCACTACTGTACAATGAGAAGTGACAGTAGGAGTTGGTCTAGAAACGTGATTTTGTGTTGTCAACCGAATAATATCACGTCGAGGAGCTTGTTGGGGCACTACTGTAGAACGAGAAGTGACAGGAGGTGCAGAAACATTTCTCCCAAGCCTGATATTCTTCCGCAGAGTCTTCCAAATCTCCTCTTTATCAGTGGCATGACAATGATCGGTGCTAGAGATACCCGAGCCCCAATAACAACATGGTGCTTGCATGTCGCAAACAAAGCAATGACACTGCGGTTTAAAAAAGAACATTCATAGCTTACATCTGAACGGATGCTAAATTCAAGGGCACCAAACTCTGAAAGAGAGCAACAATCAAGAATCTCAAAATTAAAAAGTTTCAAAAATATTACCAGTTCACAGTGCTGTTCATGTGAGGTTGATCTGAAAGGAAATTTAGCACAATCATGCCGTGGATGGGGGAAATCTCTGCATGCAACCTGCAGACAGATGATATGGAAAAATGAGAAAGCCATTCGAAAATCCGTGCCCACAAGAAAACATTTTGGAAAGCGTAAAGCAAAAAAGAAAAAAAAAGAATAGGTTCAACATTAAATGTAAACAAGTAAGAAGGCAACCAGAAATGCCCCTGATACCACACCAGCTCCTAGATATCCCAAATAGAAAACTCTTAACGGTTTCATTTATAGTTTCAAGCCTTACAGATTTCAGTACCAAGCTTGAACCATTTGGTCTACTTCAATGCCAACGGAACATATATATATTATGCCCATGAGATCATCTAAGCACAAAGGTAAATTTTGGTTCTTCGACAAAGTAGCTTAATTCGAAGCAAGTTCAGACCTCAAATATTCTAATGGAAAACTCGTGATCTTTCCTTTCTCCAGAAATTAGTGAACTAGCTCTGACAAGTGGAAAGGACTATGACACATTTTCTCGCTGCAACAGAATAACTTTTCAATGACTCAATTCTTACCTTTTTGCCATCCAAGTTGACACTTACGGCTCAACATACTGACGATCCCATAACAATGGTGCTGCAGCTGGTTGAAAGCAAATATCTAAATGCCGTGAACATTCAAAATCGCACGACCTAGAAGACATGTTACAAAAAAGAAAAGATCTAGAACCACAACAAAACACACAAAAAACAAATATTCAAGAAATGCCAAAAAAATAGCAAAAATAAATTTTAACATCCACGTTTACAAACCCAGATATCTCAATAACCATTCCCTAAAATTCAACACCGAGCAAGGACAACTGTCCCTCTCATTGCAAGGACATATAGATATGACAAAATGATATCAACAAATAATAATAAGAATCAAGTCAATCAACTAATTTCTATTTCTCCATATTCCCTTCTTCAGCATATACTGATCACACATTTCACTAGGAACTACTGGAAACCACATAGAAATGGATTTGTTCTAATTTTCTAAGAAAACAAACATAGAAAAACAAACTCCACCGATGTACTTAGCCACAAAAACCAATCAAAACAAAAGGTTTAAACAAGAAAACAGTGATTAAAATTTTTGATATCTACCTGCCCTTTTTGGCCGACAATAAACAACTCATCGGAATCTTCATGGTTATCGTTAACGTCGGTCACCACCTTTTCTAGGTCACCTTCCAAAACGATACAATCATCGTCTTCTACATTAACATTCTTCCTGACCGACGAGTTCCGTGATTTTGACTTCTTATTAGGGTTGACTTCACAGACGACCACCACCTCATCGGAATCGTCGAATCCCTTGTTAACGGCTTTCAGAACTTCTGAAAACCAGTCGTAGTCGTCCCCTTTAGCTTATATCTGTATGGGAAATGTGAAGATTCTGTAATCTGCAAGTAAAACAAAATAAGTAAACATCAGAATGGAAGCCATGAAGAATTTATTATGATTTGTGAATTTTGTCTTTTGGGTAAAAGAAATGAAGAATTTTAGGGTTTAGGATGGCTTTTTTCAGATTTATATGAAAATTAGGGTTTTTGAGGTTGTTGATCAGATTGGGGATCCCCCCCTTTTTTCTTTCCTTTTTTGACTGAGAAATTTGAGGTGAAAATGGAACCACTGAAATGAACTTGAGAGCCAAAAATAAGGGCCATCTACAACGGACGGAAAATGAGATAAAAGAAGGGTATAATCGGAGTTTTAAAAGAAATTCTACTAACACCCCGTGGTTTATATGTACTTTTTCAGATTTAATCTTTATTTCTCAATTTGATCATTTTTAATCTATACTTTTCGAATTTTAAAATTACAATCCTAATCTAAACGTAATTTTGTAAAACCCTCAATCCAGTTTGGTCAAAAATCAAATCGATAATGCTACATAGACTGATCAAAAATAGAATCTATAACATTTAACTAAATTCAAATGTCTGATATTTAATTAATCAATTATGATTTCGGATACAAAATGATCATTACAATCTTATTCATGAACATCATGGATCAATTAAGCAATTCAACTTACTATAGGAGTCATTATAATCATCATCAACATCTAAGGACTAAATCTAATAATTTTAAACATTCATAATTAATGGTATTGATATAGTTTATACGATATCGATACTATATTAGAATAGTACCAATACTAAATTATTTTTCACATGTTCCATTTGGTACCTATACCTTGATTCAGTATCGATACTATATGTATACAATGTCAATATTGATCCATAGTACTGATAATTTTTTGTATTATGGAATTTAGATCCCTCTAAATGAGTAGGACACTCCATCAATCGGCATCGATACCACATGTATAGTATTAATACTGTGAATCAATATCAATATCAAATAATCGTTTAAAATTTCTCATTAAACATATGACATCGATACCTCTTGTTTTAGTGTCAATACATTTACACCAAATAATCAAAATCATATTTTTAAACATGCTCAAATGATTGTCAAATATGTCCTAAGCTATATACAACGTGTATGACATATAATAGCAAACCAATACATAACACCAATTTCACACATGTTTCATCAAATACATACACTTAGTTTTACCATTTATATTCATTTCTTATCATTTGTATTTCATTTAAGCACATTCATCATCATAATCATACTTACAAACATGTCATCGTATTCAGTGGCAGGACACAAGAGGGACTAGTGGATGCATGCCCCCTAATATTTTAAAAAATTATAATTTAGACCCATATTTTTAAAAAAATTAATTTGGTCCCCTCAAAATTTTTAGAAATTCGTATTAAACTTTAAATTTTATGAGTGTTCTTAATTAAACAACCTCCCGTAATTTTAAAAAATTCTCATTAAGCCTCTCAAAATTTTCAAAAATTTTAGTTTTACCATAATTTTTTGGGGAAAAAATTTAAACTAAACCCTTCAAAAATTTTAATTTAAACTTCTAATTTTTTTTAAAGTTTTTAAGATAGCACCCCACACTCTATCACCAAATTCCACCACATATCATATTTATCAAATTTTCTTACCATTTGCATAATCATATAAATTATTTATCTTATAATCATTGACATAATGTTATATTATTTTGTCATATTCATAACAAACATGAACTTCAGATTTCATGACATTCAAAGTCATACTTATCGTGAACCAAACAACATCGTTATCACACAATACTAATCACATATTATGATAAATGATGTCCTGAAAAAACATTAAACAGATAATGTAAACTATATAGCTTAGTGAGGTAGTAAAACATAAATTATTATTGAATGACATCTCTAAAGATATGATTCATCAATAAGAAATAACAATGGCAATAACTTCAATGATAACATAATGATGTTATAACAACAACAATGAAAATAACAATAATGATAGCAATAACATTATAAAAACAATAACAATGTTCATAAATGTGACAATAGTTTCAATAATGGCCTAATGATACTCTTTTGATATATGAATGCATGAATCCTTGTATCACAGTTAATAATGCAAAAGCACACAATATGATCAATTTTTCCGTCACTGTGTGGACATAAATTCGATCGATCACCAACATCCTTCCGTCACTAATGAGATCAAAACCTAATCAGTACTCATATAAACATTGTGAACTCTATCACATATCAACTGTATCCAACTCGATGAGATAACCATGGTCATTGAATATTTATTACAATTCTATTATGGCTAATCATGTGCTCAAGGTTGCATGGCAGTGGGTAGGGGTGTGCAAATTTGGATATTAGATCCGATCCGATAAATCGTATATCTGAAATTTCGGATAATTAAAATAGTGATTCGTATCTAATCCAAAAAAAAATTCGGATATACGAACTTTCGGATCGGATATATGAATATCCGGATCTAAATGTAAAATTTAATTTGACAAAAAAATTAGTTTTAAATTTTATATTTTTTGAGTTTATACAACTTATTCGATACTTATATTATATTTTATATATATTTAATTATTTCGCACACAATAAATAATTAAATATCCTATTTTTTATTGGATTAAAATTTTAATGGGTTAGTGAATTACTCATTTATTAGGTTAAATGCTATATAAAATTTAAAGGCCCATTTTTCCCGATTTTCGGATAATTCAAAGTTAGAATTTATCCGTTCTGATTATCCAATTTTTTTCCCGGATATCATATCCGAATTACTCGAAAATAAAAAATAGATTGGATATCCAGATTTTTAGATCAGATCAACGATTCAGATTAATCTGATTACATCTTTTGTACACCCGTAGTAGTAGGATTGAAGTCTTAGCACGTGATTAAAACAGCTAGCGGCAATACTGAACATCGCCACCAGCATGATGGCTAAACCTTAAGCAGGAAGAGATGATACGTTTGAATTTCAAGTAAGAAATAGGATTGTTTACCTAACATTATTGCTTTAATTATGACTCAATAACTAGCTGTCCTGTAAGAAAATTTACGAGAGATGATCAAGCGTATGTGCATTGTAAGAAAATTCATTGAAAGCAAAATATTAATGTATATATATTAATATATTTCTTGCCTTTTTATCATTTTTCACGTGCTTTTTTTTTTTTGCATTTTCACTGTCGTTCTTTATGTTTTTCTTTTAGAAGACAACATCTGTCTATGCTTTTGATATTGTAGGACTGAAAGAGAAGGAACCATGAACTCATGACTATATATATTTATAGTACATGATCAAATTATGCAGCGTACATTTTTTTTTAGTTTTACACAAATTTTGAACATTTAGATTAGTGAAAATAGAAGGTTGAGATTAACTCCTTATTTTTTTTTCTAATAAACATATTTTAATTTCCTACTATTAATCTCAGTTGTCTATTTTGACTCATTTAACAGCCATAAATATGTATAAAACTAAAAAATCAATCTATACATATGATGTATTTCTAAATTGTCTCATTTTTATTTTCTTAATTTAAAATTTTATATCGTATTAATATTATTGTTGTAATAAATTAAAAGTCTTCAATTTAAATTCGTTAATACTCATAATTTTCATTTTTCATAATTTATATCTTGTAAACCCTTATATTAAAAGATATTATCGTATTAAATTATTGTTGTAATAAATTAAAAGTCTTCAATATAAATACGTTAATACTCATAATTTTCATTTTTATTATTTAAGTCTTGTAAACTCTTAAATTAAAAGGTATTATAAAAATAGCATAAAAAGATAATTACACACTTAGATTCCTTCAAACTCATAATTTTTGAATTACATTGCTCGTAAATATATAAAAAAACCCATAAATGTTTGAACTTGAAATCTATAAAACTAAATTAATATTTCGATTCACTATTTGGATCGCTTTGATAAAATTTTAAAAAATCCATATAATATTTTATAAGAATCCATACCTCATGTATAAAATCTTTCCCCTCCCTCTCAATATATCCATGTTGGTGTGAGGCAATGAGAGATGAAAGGACGTCGCTGCCTTGAAGCCAAAGCAACCCACGACTTCCCAACTCACAGTTTGGTACAGACAAAACATCCAATTTCATTATTCATATTATATTCACCTTCCGCCATGGCCTCCACCACCACCCCGCCTGGCTTCGGTTCACTTGCCGTCGACGAGGTACAACTACTCTTCTTCTCCTCCTTTAAAAAAAATGTTATCGAAATCTATTTCTTGTTTATGATCTTCTGGTGTGCAGAATCGGGCAGCAACCCAGCAATCTTCGACGAGGACGTGCAAAGTGTCTGGGGATTAGATCGGGCAAAAGGAGAACGGATAAGTGCTCGTGGCTTGTCATGTGTGTGGCTTCCCGGTTTGCCGGGCTTGTTATGAATATGAAAGGAGTGATAGGAACCAGTTCTGCCCTCAGTGCTACACTTGCTATAAGAGTCTCAAAGGTTCAATATTACTACTATTTTGTTTCATATATAAGCACACACACACACACGCTATGTATATAATATTAATTTGTCCTTTGTTGTTCCGCAGGGAGTCCGAGAATTCCAGGAGATGAAGAGGATAACTCAGACCAAGAAGACTTCGATCATGAATTCCAGATAAAGAACCGTAAGGATGACTCGGATAATCAACAATGGCATCGTAACGGTCAAGCTTTCTTGGTTGCCGGAAGCAGTAAGCAAACCGGATGATAAAGATTAGATTTGTTTATTTGGATTGGAGTTTAACTTGATAAAAATTGATTCGGGTTCGAATAATTTATATTAAAGTACGTAACGTATGAATGGTGTGCAGCTGGCGGGAAGATTTAGAAGGCGATAAAGAGACATACGGCAGCGCTGAATGGGAAGAAAGAGTTGAGAAATGGAAAGTGAGGCAAGAAAACGAGGTTTGATTAGCAACGATAATGGTGAGAATGATCTCCCCGAAGAAGATGATTACCTTTAAGTTTTCATCTATCTTATAAAATTTGATACTATATTTTCTCAAATTTTCATATCATTAAAATAAATATTTTACACGAACAATCGACCTCGTTAGTTAAGTAATTATTGTTATTTTTTAAGTTCTGAGTTTGAGCCCTACCGTATGCAAGATATATGAACATTCAATATCAAATTATTAAGATTTTTTTCTTTTTATTTATTCCAAACTAATAGAAAAATAAATAAAATCAAATATTTTATCTTCAAATTAATGAGAATTTTTTTAAAATATTATATGAAAATAATTTTAAATTTTTAATGAGTTGAATTGATTTAAATCTTTATTTTTTATCAATCTAACTAATAATTAAATCATTAAATATTAATTTAAACATGTAAAGAAATATGTTTAAAACTTATAAATTAAATTATAAATAAAAATAAATAACTTAAATCTGTCATTTTTAAAAGATTTTTTCCCTAAACTTTATTTTTACTATATATTTAATAATTAAATATATACATATCCATAATTTGATATATGTATTTTTAAGGATAGAATGTATTAAAGATGATTAGATTATATTTAAATGATTGTTTTATTCGTTGAATTTTTAAAATTATAAAATAATTTTTAAAATTATCAAATTATTATAAAACAATCATTTAACATTATAATACTTAAAATTTTAATAAATTTAATGACTCTTTTATAACATTTTGATAAATTTAAGTATTATATTTTAATATATTGATAAAGTTAGATAAACATTTTATAGCTGTTCGGTAAATTTAATTTTCATTTTCTAATTTTTAGAAATTTTAATGACCAAAACAATTATTTTAATATAGTTTAATGAGTCATTTTAATATAATTTAATGACTCATAATGTACATTATCCTATTGCAAGTATGTATTTTTTGACAAAGTTTAAATCTAATCTTAATCCTACCTAAAGGGAAAGGGTTAGGAGAAAGAAGAGTAGTGCTCGTCGTAGGCTTAGAACACATGACTTAAAAGAATATAAAGGAACAAAGATGAATAACTTGATCAATTGATCAAATATACTCGTTACTCTTATAAATATGTTCAATGTTAAATATGAATCAATATTTAATATCTAAATTAACATAAAGACCTTTTCAATACTGTCGTAACCGTCTTTCCGTTGGGCCCCGAAATTGGGCTTCGACTTAGGAAAATGTGGATTGGAGTCGCCACCGATCATTTATTTAAAAATAAATGGGTTGATCGGATACCCTATTTCTTACCTGATCTGCGTCTTACCAGAGATGTGTCGGATTCGGGAGTCGGTTACAGTCAAGGAAGGGCTAGCACCCTTGAACTGCCCTTTCGGTACTGTGTAATTTCCAGTTGTCTTTAATTAAGAAAATTGAAAGTTAAATTAAAAGGTAACATATAATCCAAAATTATTTACCTTAGATTGATTTGAAAATATCCTTAAAAAGTCAAGAATCATGTTAAAAAGGTATTGAAAATAATGAAAAATGAAATAAAGGAAATAAAAAATGAGATAAGGTAAGGATAAAATAAGAAAATGGAATACCTACAATGGAATAGATGGAAACAAAATAAAACAATGACAAACATAAAGGAAATGAACAACATAAAGAAAATAATAATGATGATGTACGTATAGTAAACAAATAGATGAATACAAGAATGAATTAAAAAAAAGAAATAAAGAAAATAGAAATAAATGTAAAAGAAAATAATAGTACATATATCTATAATAATAATACAATAGTTTTTAATGCAAAACAACATAAAAATGATAGGATACGTACACATATAACGTTAAAGAAAACACTAGAAAATATATGTACATATATATAATTAAAATATTTATAGAAAAAACTAATAAAACTAAGGGATGAAACGTTTATATATATAAATACATATGATAATTTGTAAACAAAAATAAAAAGTCATGAAATAAGGGGAAAAAAATACATGTATATATAAAGTAATAATAATAAAAAATGGCTATATTAAAATTAACAAAAAGGCAAAATAATAATAACGGGACTAAATCGAAAGAAAACCACGATTGAAGGTCGAATTTAAAAAAAAATTGAGTTTAAAAACTGGATTTGGGGGTTAAAATTGAAATTTTCAAAACAGGAGGGTCAAAAACGCGATTTACCCTTTAAAACAACAGAAACACGCGGATCCCCTCATGATGGGTCGGGTTGCACGCGGATCTCCTGATGGGTTCAATATTTAAGCCAACAAAACATTTTAAAATTCATTCTAGCCTCATTTGAAACCAAAGGCTCTCTCCCATTTCCTTCTTCCTCTGCCTTGTTCTTCAGACATGAAGAACAAGGGCCATGCGCCGCCGCCTGAGAATGGTGACCACCGCCTCGCCGCCACTCATCAGCGATGATCCACCACGAAACCCAAATTTTTAAAGAGCATCCTTCTCTCATAGTTCAAAATCCAAGCGGTTTTTCAAAAATCAACTTTAAAAAAAACACAGATCTAGGAAATAGATTTTCGAGAAAAAATGCCTCACTTCGCTCATCGGCCAAAATGCAACTTATGGGTTCAGTTCGCACCAAACAACACAGGAGATACAACATGCAAAGTGAGAAACCGAACAGACAAGGTAAAAGAAAAAAAACTACCTCTTTTTTATTAATTTTTTCGAAAGTCTTTACAAGGGCTTGGACCTTCTTGGCTATCGTGTGTGGGTGGATGTTACACAGTGATTTTGTATGTGAATCCAGCGTCAAAAAATCTCCTCCTCATTGTGTTAATTACAAGCCTATTTATACTAAAATAAAAACCTAATTTTAGACTACATGCTTAAGTCCTAATGGAACTCTAATGCTTTGTTGTTTTCCACATGCACGTTGTTGGTTTGTTGCCGAGAAGCATGGAGACGTGAAGGATAAGAGGCCTTCGGTGTGGAGGAGTCCTTGAGCGAAGCATGCGGCGCTGGATGGGGGAAACTGCTAGGGTTGCGCGTGTTGGGTCTGAGTTGGACCAATGTGTATTCTGCTGGGCCAAATGTAATTTTGGGCCTGACACAGAAATAAAAAAAAATGTGTTAGTTTACAATATATATAATTATATATATAATACATATAAATATATTTTGGTCGTATAAAGTGTGTCTACAGCTGCCCCTCTTTGCCCATAATCGTGCAACGGGGATAGGGCAAAGATTTAAAGACACACTATCCATCTATGTCGAAGGTCCTCTGTTGTAGAGTTGAAATTCGATGCTGGAATTGGTCGCAATGACTCTCTCGTCATGAGGTTGAGTCAAAGCTGGAAAGTTTTGAGCACGAAATCCTTCGTCTTGAAGTTGAAAACAAGCTCAAAGTGGTCTTTGAATTGACTCTGGGCTCAAGGTACTTCGTCATGAGTCAATCTTTTTGTGAAGTTGGAATTTGTATATGGCTCTTTCGTCGCGAAGTTGAGCCTGAGAATTGGATATCCCCCGTCGTGAGGTTGAAATCCACTGCCAGTTGCATTGTCTAGAGTCCAATATTCTTCGTTGTGAAGTTGAAATTGGCTCTGAATTTGAGAAATGTTTGTTGACAACCAGCGGTCCCTTCGTTGTGAAGTTGAACTTGCGTTGTCTGGAGTCCAATGTCCTTCGTTGTGAAGTTGAAATTGGCTCTGAATTTGAGAAATGTTTGTTGACAACCAGCGGTCCCTTCGTTGTGAAGTTGAACTTGCGTTGTCTGGAGTCCAATATCCTTCGTTGTGAAGTTGAAATTGGCTCTAAATTTGAGAAATGTTTGTTGACAACCAGCAGTCCCTTCGTCGTGAAGTTGAACTTGCGTTGTCTGGAGTCCAATATCCTTCGTTGTGAAGTTGAAATTGGCTCTGAATTCGAGAAATGTTTGTTGACAACCAGCGGTCCCTTCGTCGTGAAGTTGAACTTGCGTTGTCTAGAGTCCAATATCCTTCGTTGTGAAGTTGAAATTGGCTCTGAATTTGAGAAATGTTCGTTGACAACCAGCGGTCCCTTCGTCGTGAAGTTGAACTTGTGTTGTCTAGAGTCCAATATCCTTCGCTGTGAAGTTGAAATTGGCTCTGGGTAAAACCTGCAAAGATATGCATATATGCGATGGTATGGATGTCATGCTCTTAGGTATGCCTAAAATGTATGGGCAACATATGTTATTCTGGGCTCTGGAGAGAAATC